ATTTTTTCGCTGTTGACCGCGCAACCGGGCAAGTTTCTGTCGTTAGATCGTTGGATCGTGATATTGCAGCAACAGTAAGCATCACTGTGGTCGTCAGTGATACAACTGCACCAACGTTGCAACAGGGAAGAGGTATTATATATTAAAAATTATTTATATATTATATTTAAATAATTAACACAAAATCTTAATTTATGCATGCGCGTGTGTGTATAAAATCTCTAATATATTTCAATGAATATAATTAAGTCAAATATATTAAAATATCGAAAAAAAATTATTTATATATATTTAAATAATTATTCTATTTATAATTAGGTACTTTAGTAGTTACAATTATTGATGTTAACCATATGGCACCAGAATTCCTAAAACCATGGACAAGAGAAAATCCACGATATTTAATAGAAATGCAAGAAGAACAGCCAACTGGAGCTATTGTAGGAGCATTTACAGCAGTTGATGCAGATAGTAATATAGCAGGATATGCAATTATACCACCAAGTCCTTATTTTAATATAGATAATGTTACAGGTTCATATATATAATTGTTGCACTTAAAGAGAAATATGAAAAGTATATGATAAATATTATAAATTTTACAGGAATTGTACGAACAAGTCAAGTTATTGATTATGAAGAAACAAAACAATTGGAGTTTACAGTAGTTGCATATGATTCTGGAGTGCCTCAATTATCTGCAACTACTAAAGTAATTGTTACTGTAATAAATGTTAATGATCAAGATCCTAAATTCGAGAAAGAACTGTATAATGCCTCTGTAAAAGAAAACTCACCACCAGGTACTCATGTTATTGTTGTTAAAGCAACAGATGGAGATGAAGGTCCATTTGGAGAAGTTAGTTATAGTCTTATAGGTGATCATGCTGCTGACTTTAATATTGGTAAGTTAAATTCTCTGTTCATAATGATGTAAAATTATATTTTATTGTATAAACATATATTTTTATAAATTATTAGGCCATGAAACAGGAGAAATTACTGTTGGTAGTGCTGCTGTCCTTGATAGAGAAATAACACCAAATATTACTATAACAGTAATGGCCAGTGATGGTGCTCATATAAATTCACGTCGAAGTACTACAGTTCCAGTAATTGTAAAACTCATTGATGTTAATGATAATCGACCAATATTTACACAACATAGTTATAGAGCTTCAGTTGCTGAAAATCTGCCAGTAAATCCACCTGCACCTATTTTACAGGTAATTCCAATTTGAACATGATTCTAAAGAATTGCATAGTTGAAAAGACTGCTATACAATATATTTCTTATAAGGTCAGAGCTGTGGATCATGATGAAGGAATCAATGGAGAAGTTTGGTATACTATAATTCATGGAAATGAAAATGAATCATTTTCTTTAAATCATGAAACAGGTATTTTATATCCTGGAGCAGCACTTCTTGGTAGAGCTGGTTCTTATAGAATTGAAGTAGAAGCAAGAGATGGCGCTGGTAATGGTCCACATTCAGATAAATGTTATGTTGATATACGAGTCACACCAGTAAATCAACACAAACCACAATTTGTTCTACCTGAATTAACAAACGCTACTGTTGAAGTACCTGAGGTGTGTGTAAAATTAATATCATCATTAATAAAATTGATTTGATTTGTTAAAATTATATCAATATAATAATGAACAAAATTCTTTAGAACACAGGTGTTCTAAATTATTTAATATTAACCGTGAAAGCGATCGACAGAGATCCTGGTGAAAACGGACGCGTAAGTTATCATTTAAAAGTTGGAAATCGAAATATTCAAGAAACGGAAGAATTTTCTATAGATCAAGAAACAGGTGAATTAAGATCGAAAATTATTCTTGATCGTGAAGTAAAAAGCAAATTTGAGGTAAATTTTATTCGCATATTTCTAAAAAATTTATAATATTCATCATATTTAAAATAATAATATTTAATTTTAATATTATTTCAGCTTGTTCTTGTAGCTGCTGATCATGGTACACCAACAGCATATGAAACATTACGCTTACTTACTGTACAATTAGTTGATACAAACGATAATACGCCACAATTTTATGATGAATATCATTTTCAAATATCAGAAAATCGCCCAAAAGATTACTTTGTAGGAAAAGTAATTGCGGAAGATAAAGATGAAGGAAGACACGCAAAAGTATATTATTATATAGAAGCTGGTAAATAATATATATAATTATAATTTTTAAGATTATAGAAGTATTAAGTAGCAATAAATAAATTTATGCGAATGTCATAATCATTTTTCAGGAAACGAAAATTATGCATTTTATATAGACAAATCTGATGGTAGCATATATACAAATAAATCATTCGATCGTGAAACTCGAGATAAATATGTTTTATCGATATTGGCTTCTAATGATCCTGATATTTATATAAGTCCTGCAGATGCAGGACGACCATTAATGCACAATACGGACCATGGATATGTAAATGTTACTATAATTATTTTGGACGAAAATGATAACTCACCAATATTTGAACGTAATGATTATTATGCTGGTGTTAATTCAATGGCAAATGTGAACGATTTTGTAACAAAAGTAACAGCATCAGATTTAGATGTTGGAGATAATGGCACACTTCATTATTATGTTGCCAGTGCAAATCTTTACAAATATGGATCAGAAAAACCTAGTGGTTCTATAGTTCCAAGTCCTTTCATTGTAACACAAGATGGTAAACTTGTTACAAGTGGATATATGGCCGAATACAATCAAGATAGATTCATTGTTGAAGTTATAGCGAAAGAAGCTGCTATTCCAGAAAGATATGCAATGACTAGAGTTCATGTAAGTTATTTCATATGCAAGTATCTTCATGTTTAATTTTTTAATTATTTATTTATTATGTTAATGAAGGTTTGGGTATTTGAAGCCTCACAGTTAATAAGAGTTATTTTATCAAGACCTCCTGAAGAAGTAAATCGTGAACGTGACGAAATCGTATCAGAATTATCGAATGCAACTCAAAGTAGAGTCGTTGTCGATGATATACGATATCACGTAGACGCATCAGGTCATATTCGTAGAGAATGGTAAAGAAAAATATTTTGAATATTTCTTAAATTAATATAATATCTAAAACATAATATCTAAATATAACTTATAGGTGCGACATGTATTTACACGTAGTGGAATCAAAAACCCAAACTATCGCTCCAGTTCCACAAGTACTTAAAGTTATTGATGCAAAATATGATTTCTTGAAAGATTATTATGCCGGTTTTGCTATTGAAAATGTTGTGGTAAATATATATTAAATTTTTAGATTAAATTTTGTATACTTAAAATTATATAAATATATTAATAGAATTGGATTTTGTGATATAATTTTTCAGCCTGCTTATGCTGGAGTACAGGAAGAACCTTTCGATCCTGCATTAGCTGCTTTAATTGCCTTATTGGTAGTTCTATTAGTTGGTGCAGTTACAGTAACAGTAGTTTGTTGTTGTTTACGACATTGGTAAATATCCTTATTTTAACATGGAAAATATAAAATATATTATATTATATAAATATATTATATTATATAATATATTTTAGGGTAATCACTGTGCCAAATGATATACGAAAAAAAGATGGCTTAATAAAGAAACAAATTATCGATGAATTAAATACTACAGAAAATCCTTTATGGATTGAACAGTGAGTAAAATTATGTTTTATAAAGATATTTTTCAATATGATATATTTTTATAATGCTCATTTCCAGAAAACTTAAATTATATGAAGAACAAGAATTAACAATGCAAGTATTTAGTGAACCTGAAGGTGGTCTAGGTACAGAAAGACGTGGAAGTGGTGTAAGTGTTGGTATGGGTGATACATCTCAAGATAACACTTATGCTACTATTCAACGTCCACTACCTACGAATAGGCATCGTCCTACGACGCCAGATTATACAACGCTTCCAGGAAACCACAATGTATGAAGAAAAATTATTAAATATATATATTAGATAAATTATTATATAATTTGAAAATATATATTTATATTATATGTTTTTACATAGCTTTATGAATCAGCCATGGGTTTCCAAGGATCAACATTTCAGCCATCTTCGAATGTAATGCCTCAATTTACACTTGATCGTGATGGTCAACCCCAATTCGTTTCAGGGCTAGTATAAATTAAGTTTTATGTCAATCCCTCTTTTTTAATCAATAATATAACTTATCATCATACATTGTACCTTTCTAACCACTGCTCTAACTGTTGCACGCGCCTTTCTCAAATTACACTCGCATGCACACACCTTTTCGACAATAATCGGATAATATCGTTAGGTTTGTCTGCGAGTAGACGCGTGTACAAGAAGAGCAAATTATCCCGAATTATGCAGAAAAATCTACTCTGACTGTGCATCTTTTGCAATTTCAGTTCGAACTCTTCAACAGCGAAGAATTCAAGATGAAGAGTAACAGTCAATATTACTGGAATAAATATTTCCCTGTAGCTGGTGTGTGCATGTATATATGTGTGCGTTGCCAACCTATGGTCTTATCTAACTAATTGTTAGGTTCATTGTTAGAAAAATCAAAATTGCTAGATAATAGACACTGTGAAATAGCTTAATGACCAAAGCTTGGCACGACAGATATATGTATATAAATGAATGTGTAGACTCCGTCCAGCGCAGTTTTCTGATTACTTCCTCACTAGTTTAGTATTTATATAACTTATGTACGTTTTGCACGCGTAACAAAAAAGAACGTACTTATAGTGTCATTATCTTGTGAACAAATCACTGCCATATTATGGCATTAACATACAATAAAATGTTCTAATAATAAAGAGAACATATTCATAATGTTAAAAATATTTGTAATAAGAAAAACAATTCAATCGAAATATCAATATATATCATATAAGTTCATGTACAATTATTAATTTTCAATATGTTATATTTATTTAAGTTAGGATTAAATGACTGATTTTTATCTGATTAATCTGTGATTTGATTACGCCCGTGACAGTTAAATTGCATTTGAGATTTCTTACAACTCATTGGCGATGGGCGGATATAGTCATATCATAGTTAGTGAAATGGAGACATTCGCATCAAATTTCAATGTTATGTAAAAACATAATCATTTCGCGCTGCGAAGACCACACTGTTTTTCATCATCTAAACCGTCCTCAACGAAACATATGTGCATTGGGGTCTATGAAATTTATTGCGAACGGCTCTAAACATACAGTATATCATATATTCAAAAACAATAACTTAACTACGATCATGTTATGTCTATAAACATTTAATGTAAAATTAATATCAGTATCATAATATTACTAGGTGGTTACGAATATTATAGTTAGTAAAAGTATCTGTTTATTGGTTATAAATTTATTGTAACATATTTTATGTAAGTCATTGATAAAAAAAAATATTCATATATCAACACATTCATCACATCTCACATCATGTGAAAATAAATATTCAAATCTGTGTATATTTAATTCTTTTCAATATCCATATGTTTTTCATCTAAACTATTTTTTTCTTTCTTATTAGATTTATCATCTAATAATTTTGATTCATAATTGAAAATTTGGACTATCGAATTAGGTTGTTCTATCCATAATTTGTATCCTTTTTTTGTAGGGTATTTTTTAATACTTAAACATGTTAAACATGTCCATTTTACACTTTTTATAGGTTTTGATATTAATCGTACTTTTGCAGTTTCACCAGGTATAAGAGGAGATTGACAACATTTACAAATTGTTCTCTTAATATCAGGTTCTCTTAAAGAAAAAATAATATATACATTTACATAGTTTCTAATAATTGATTATGATTTTAACTATATATATAACTATTACATAACTATACAAATATATAATTGAGCCTGAAGTTTCATTTTTTTTTCTGTATTGGATTATATATAAAAAAACACAATACTTTTTTGAATCTGAAAAAACTACTACTAGTCCTATAATTTAATATATATAAATAAATTTAACTATTAAAAAATTTTTGCAAAAAAAAATATAAAATTTATGAAAAATATATTTATAATAATTTATAATATTTATAATAATCTAACTTATATTACACCAATTAAATAAATATAAACAATTTTAATTTTAAATTATTTTATAATTAAACTTACATTCTTAAAACAGATTTTTTTGCACAACCAACCATTATGTTTCCATAATATGATGCTGCTACTCTATTTTTCAAAGCCATTAAATAACTTGCCTGTATAAATAATATTTTATTAATAATCCTACTTTAACATAAAACAAATTCTACTTTAACATAAAATATAAATTATCAAAAATTATTATTACCTGGTACAGGTAATTCATCCTTTCAAAAATATCCTTACCCTGACATAATTTTGTATTTGTATCTATAACAATTACGATAACATTTACGAATATAATATATTTTAATAATTTTACATTAAATTTAATACTAACCCATAGTACTTATAAAAATTAAATTATTATTTATTTCAAGTTTATTTTATAATGATATTTTTAAAAAACAAAATGGATAATATGAGGTTATGTTGTATTATTTACATTTATTTGCTTCACCGTTTTCATTGTTAACATAACCATATTGTTGTCACATAACTATATTGTTTATCATTTATTATTAAATAAAATCATTTATATTTAATAATAAAATCATTATTATTAAATAAAAATCATTTTTAATAATTAATTAAGTGACAAAATTATATTATATTATATTTTTATTATATTTTTCAATATAGAATATAAATATTAAAATCGATTAAAAAAATAGAATATATCTTAAATTTAAATAAACATACGAAAAAATGAACAAATAAGTACACAGTATAGAAAAATCTATTTTTTTACTAAATCTAGTTAAATAAATAATTAAATTTTATAAATGCAATGATGCACTTAAAAATTAATTTTTTTAAATATATTCTTGGAACATTCTATGCAAAAAGATATTTATATATAATATTTAAAAAATTTAACAATTTAATTTAAATTTAATATTAAATTTCATAAGATA